GTCTCCAAAAGCACATCATAAAAGCAAACACCTGCTGGACTGAGAGACTTGGTGGCTGCATTGTAAAGTATTTACTGGGTTTTGAAGTCTGCTGGTAAAAATGGCATTGTGGAGTAACCTAGTGTGACACAACACAAGGAATAATTGCACAGGTATTGATTACTATTGACCCTCCCCATTTTGACGGCTGTACTTCTGTTTTTCATGACCTAGATTTAAAACATAGGGATTTGGCGTTTGTTTCCCGTGAGATGGTGCAGTTAGTCAGAAAAGACTTGAAGAGACTGTTATTTTAAATTGAATCACACTTTGATTTTTAGCTGACAGCTGTGAGGGGATGAGTGGAGAGCCAAACTGTCCTTGGTGGTGCTCTGTGGCCAGCAGCTCGGGCTGAGCTGCAAGCACCAGAGCACTGCTGCTATCTACAGGTCTGCTCTGACAGCACTCACACTGCACACCAGTGCTCCACCAGGGATGCCCGTGCTTGGGAACAGCACACAAACACAGACACTAAAGTATTCTTGCTTTGGGGAAGTGCAAGATGACAATCTGTAGCCTTTCTGGCCAGGGGCTAGCCTGTGTCAAAAACCCAAAATCAAGTGGACTTCATTAAAGGGAAAAGTTATCTCTGCTGCACGAGAGAACAATTTCTGCCTTTTAATTTTATTTTATTTATTTTTCTACAAATGAAGAGGAAACATTGCCATCTCAGGTGCAGAGTAAGCGGAAGCATCTGCTCCCAGATGGGAGCCCCCTCTCACCACAACACACTGCACAAAAGGTCATGGTGTACACAAGGGCTGGAAAACACCTTTGAGTCTGCATTGCTGAACTTTTAAGATCATTTGTGATATAATTAGAATTCACTAAAATTTAGTTGTGGCTTTTTGTTGCCGGGAATTTAATTAATTTTTCCTTCTGTGTCTTTTCCTCTGTAACCCAGAAATTCTCATAGGTGCTTTTCTGCCTCTATCAGTAAGACAGACAAGATAACCTGGAATGGGTTCATCACTGCTGAAATCAAACACAGCAGCTTCCAGAACAGGAGAATAATAATAAAGAAATCTATCCAGCAAATACAAACAGCGGAGACATAAAAACATCTATTTAACTAAATGTTGTGGATTTCAGAGTCAGGTTAACAATGAGAGTATCAGATCACAAGCTTTCAACGAACAATAGAGGAAGTGGCAAACTAAGAAAAAGGAAAAAAGTATTTTTCCCCACTATTTTTTTTCCCCTAGTAAGGAAAAAACCCCAGCTTATTTGCAAAATCTTCATCTACAACTGAATGTCAATATGAACAGGTAAGTACAGAAGCAGAGTGCCTTGCAGCCACAATTAGAAGCTCAAACAAAGGACAGTCTGATCTGACACATGGAACCTCTCTGAAGATTTTCCATTTGAGAGGCTAAAAAAACTCTTTTCAAATTCTCCAAGATCAGCAGGAGCTGCAGGCTAAAAAAAATCCTATTCCAAATGACTCTTAGCTCCACACTGAGCATGCAGTTCGTATTACTGCTTGTGGGAAAATAAGTAGCTGTTCCGTCCTCTTTAAATACCAGATTTTCTGGAAACAGCTGACTTTCAGTACTGGATACCAGGTGAAAACTTCAGTATGACTGGAAAGGAGCATGCAGGGTTTGTTTTATTTTGGTGGGGTTTTTTTTGTTTTATTTTGGTTTTGGTTTTTTTTGGGGTTGGTTGGTTGGTTTTGGTGGGTTTTTTTTTGTTGTTTTGGTTTTGTTTTTGTTTTGTTTTTTTTGGTGGAGTCCTGTCCTTTTGTCAAAACAGTTTAGTAAGGAATTTGCCACCTGTAATAATTACTGTCCATGAAGTATTGGGAAATACAAATAACCTCTTTAGTATTGCAGGAGATCGTTTAAGCATTGGAAGGAACAGACACCACATAACGCTCAGAAATTTCTCATCCACAAAGCTCAGCCCTCTTGATGCTTTCAAAGAGGGAGTGAAGTTGTAAATTTCTAGCAGTTTATGTTCCTATTCCTGTTTCCGAAGGACAGCGTGACCCCTTCAAAGGCAGCCCGGCGGATGCCCAGGGGAGCCAGCGGGTCAGGGAGCCGGGGCCGTGTCAGACCCCGGGCAAGGAGCATCCCCCTTTCCTTGGCAATCCAGCGGCAGCGCCATGGGAAGCTGCGCTCGGAGGGGCAAACCATAATCTCCCTGGGTTCTGGGGGCTGGCCGGGGACAGGACTGAACACCTGTCAGAATAATCCACAAATTTCACCTCCACAGATTTCCTCGCTGAGTACTTTGGCGGACACAGAAGAGGCGAGGGGCATTCGTGGATTGATGGAGGGGGAAAGCGAGCGGACAACGAAATACCAACCTTTGGAATAAGAACATCTGGGAGGGGCAGATAAAAACAACGGGAAGTATGAATTATTCTGGCCACAAACCAGAGTGTCAGCAGTATGGGGGCGGCACCGGGCACCGCTGGAAGCCGGGGGGGCTCTGGCTGCTCCTGCTGAGGGTGGGGGT